GTGTGTGTGTGTGTGTGTGTGTGTGTGTGTGTGTGTGTGTGTGTGTGTGTGTGTGTGTGTGTGTGTGAAAGCGAGCGAGCATGTGGCGGGAGATTAGCGGCGCTTGTTGACAATGTTGCCGTCAATGCAAAAACAACGAAGCACATTACTGTGGAAATAGTTTTTGTCCCAGTTTTTAAACGCAGGGCAGCACGGGGGACAGTTGGTTAGCACTGCTGCCTCACACTGTTGTGGTTCACCATTCAAATCTTGCTGTGCATGTTCTCCATATGCTAACATGCAATAGAAAACTAACAATTTGCATCTAGGTGGTGGTCGTGGTGTTAGTCTTTACACAAAACCCTTACCTGAACGCACGCGTGCTGCTGTAGACAGAACATATTAACAGTATACTCACAGGCATATATTCTTTATCCTTTGCAAAGACCGGACAATAGTACTGCTGTCCTGAGGTGAGTTTTGCAGAATCTCCGTTACAGTACTGTATATCATTATACAGCCAAACCTCGGTTTTCGAACGTCTCGGTTCTCGACCAGTTCGGTTTTCGACCAAAAATTTAGAGTTTTTTATGCCTCGGATGATGAACACATTTCGGTTCTCGAACAAACTGAGCGCATTTGAATGCACCACTTGACTCCTCTCGCCTTGCTTACACGAGGAAGTGATGCTTCCTCGGTAGACAAGGAAGAGACGCTTCCTCGTGTCGCTTTCCATTGTGAGCAGACGTGTTCAATATTTTTATTTTTTTTAAAAGAGCGTGGTTTCGGTTTTCAAACAATTTCGCTTTTCGAACAGCCTTCTGGAATTTATTATGGACGAAAACCGAGGTTTGACTGTATCTGTCTTATACTGCCCCCAGGTGGCCAAGGTGGATAATGAGCAGCACATCTGAAGGAGAAATTGTAACAAAAACATTTAAATTACTTTTAATTGTACTGAAATATGTCATTACTGTAATTTTCTTTTTCAAAGTATAATATTGTAGAGTGCTGTTTTCCACGATGTGTTTGCTCTCGGCCGATGAAACGTTATGCTTTTATGACAAGCCTCATTGTCGCCTCAGACGGAATCAGCAGTCATCCTTGCTCAGGGGGAGAAAACCCAGTTAGAAAGGTTTGGAAATAACCATCATGAAGCACCTCAGTACTGTATACAACTGCTTTCTTATATAATCTTTCAATATGCGCGCGCAGCAAAATTAGCTAAACTGTTTTTTTTTTTACATGCTGCTGGTGTTTGGTGGCTATCTTGAGCAAGGCAAAACATTTTCAACAATATGTGCGACCCCACACTGATGTCTTGACTAACAAGTGCCACAAGATGGCGGACAGCCTGACGTATGATCTTCTTTCGATGGCCCGCAGTAAAATATTTCCTTTGGCTTGATTTTGTGTAAAACGCGAAAGTTATCTCCTGTTAGGTTCACTCTTAAGCATCTATCTATCTATCTATCTATCTATCTATCTATCTATCTATCTATCTATCTATCTATCTCTGTCCGTCTAGCACAAGCTAGCTGATAAAGAGATAGCTAGAGCGGTAAATAACGCGTATGTTGGGATATGTGAAGGAGAGACGACAGGAGAAGAGAGAAAGTCAGAATCAGAAAGATTTTCAAGATGAGAAATATTTAAAAGACAACACGACAGAGAGATAGAGAGAGCGAGAAAGCGACAATGAACTTCCTGGAGAGAGAAAAATAGAAAGAGAGGTTTACATTTACAGAGGGAGCGCGACAGAACGTGTGAGTATACAGAGACCTTCGTGGCGAGAGAGAGAGAGAGAGAGAGAGAGAGAGAGAGAGAGAGAGAAAAAAGAGAGAGAGACACACACATTGAACTTTATGGGGAAATGTGTTTGTGTGTGTGTGTGTGTGTGTGTGCGTGTGTGTGTGTGCGTGTGTGTGTGTGTGTGTGTGTGTGTGAGAGAGAGTGTGAGAGAGAGAAAGAGAGAGACATTGAACTTTATGGGGAAGGGTGCGTGTGTGAGTGAGTGAGAGAGAGAGGGAGAGAGAGAAAAACACTTTCGAGGGAGTGAGCCACTGAACTTCAAAGGAGACAGAAATCGAGATAGATGTTTTTTTACATTCAAAGAGAGAGCGAGAGAGAACACGAAAATGACTGTGAGAGATAGAGAGACGTTCATGTCGACATTGAGAGAGAGGGTGAGGAGAAATGAAGCAAGGTAGACGCACACATACACTGTCAGACTTACTCGTAGAGAAGTGACAGTACTAGCGTAGTGAAAGCGGTATACACGATACATCGACAATCTCGTACGGTAGCGTGTTAGTGTACTTTAGTAGTTGTACGACGTAGGTACGTGTGCGCGCGTGTGTGTCTACGTGCGTATGCGTCCGGGCGGATGTTTGGAGCAGGAGCCCGGCTGCGTTTTCTTCACGGACCTTCTTCTTCTTCTTACGGGACTTCCAGCTCGGTGGTGCGGGGTGACAGCCCCTCGGCGTCGGCACGGCGGCGGAGCGCGATGGGGGGCTCACGGACGAGCGAGGCCAGCGAGGACAACAGCACTTTCGCGGCGTCCTAAGCGCCGCTCACCGGGGGACCGGTGACCGGGGCAAGCGGGGCGACCGCCCGAGGCGAAACGGGGGAGCCAGGTCGGGGCAAAGGCGTTGGAGGAGCCGCTCCCGTCCCGTCCTGTCCTGTCCTGTCCTGTCCTGTCCCGCCTCTATTCCACTTGCGCTTGTTTGCCGGGAGGGCTTCGTTCGGATGGAGCGAGTCCCGCCAGCGGTGGTCGCCAAGATGCGCTGCTTGACTCTGCTGCTGGCCGGCTTGAGCGTGTGGGCCAAGGTGGGCTTCTGCGTGGACTACGACGACCGCGATTACGAGTACTACGACGACGACAGGCCGGACGCCATCGACTACAAGGACCCCTGCAAAGCTGGTCAGTGGCAATACATTCCACTATTACTACTCCGTTACTTTATCGTCATGCTGATACTCCGTGTGCACGTGTGTATTTCTGCGTGTGTGTGTGCGCTCGTACGCGCGTTTGACAGCAGCGTGCAAATCAATAGTTTTACATTAAAAATGGGTTTGCATTTTTAGAAAGAAACCACCGTGCCTGAGGTATAACAGCCTACCAGGGACAAAAGGTGTCACTTACTTCACCGCTATTTAAACGTGGTGTTAATGTTTAAACTGTTCTTAATGTTGAGGTGTCTTACAATATTAAAAATCTATCTTGAGAAATGCAGACATTTTAATGAACACCTTCCCTCTGACCGTTTTCATGTTCAAGTACTACTTTTGAATGCAAATATATTGGTATGAATAAGATCCAGGATGCTGCAAAAGTCCATGAAAGTACTTAAAATGTCAAGGTATTGTGTGTGTGTGTGTGTGTGTGTGTGTGTGTGTGTGTGTGTGTGTGTGTGTGTGTGTGTGTGTGTGTGAGTGTGTGTGTGTGTGTGCTCGAT